ACTGCCGAAAATATCGCTGACGCCATAAAAAATGAGCTAAGATTCCCTTTATATACCAAGGGTATTTACGTCATTTTAACAATTCTAAGCGTGTTTACCATCGAACCGGGATGTTTTTTATCGCATCAAATCAAACCGGTTATCTAAAAACCGGTTATTTTAGCCGACTCAGGACTTTTTAATACTCGCAACGCAAACTCACGAAGCCGTCTCTTTTTCTGAGTCTCTCCCTTATTTGTTCTTCGCTTTGCTCAGTTCTTCAGTGAGGGCGAAAACAATGGAGTACAACGAATACGAACAGGATCCGCAATATAATAATAATATGGAAGAAGATGACGATGAGGAAATTACCCAGGAGGATGCGTGGGCTGTTATATCTGCTTATTTCGAAGAGAAAGGTCTCGTTCGTCAGCAGCTTGATTCGTTCGATGAATTTATTCAGAATACTATGCAAGAAATCGTTGATGAGTCTGCTGATATCGAGATCCGACCTGAATCTCAGCATAATCCTGGACACCAATCAGATTTCGCCGAGGTTGTTTAGCTGATTCTTCCTCGGTTTTTTGTGGTTTTTTTTTTTCTAGGGTTTCTATGGGAAATCGAAATTACGTGTTTGCGGAGGTTTTAAGTGTTTCGATTTTAGCTTTTGTTGCAATTAGGGTTTGCACTTCTCTGAGTAGTTGATCTCATTGCACTAAAGGATTGAGCTATGGTATATTTTTGGTGGTTCTGAATATTGGTGGAAGCTCAAAACAGTTTTGCAACTAGGGAAATTTGTGTGGTATCTTATTTTGCTTTAAGGCTGATATAACCTGAATCCCAGCATAATCCTGGACACCAGCCTGATTTCACCGAGGTTGTTTAGTTGGTACTTCCTTGGTTTTTGTTTTTTCTTCTTCTAGGGTTTCTACGGGGATATCGAAATACTGTCTATGGGTTTTAACATGTTTACGGAGGTTTTAAGTGTTTTGATTTTAGCCTTTGTGGCAATGAGGGTTTGCCTTTCTTGAGTAGCTGGTCTCATTGATGTTTCGAGATTATCTTTGGATTGAGTGCTTGAGCTGTTCGCTTTTGAATATTGGTCGTAGCTCAAATCAGTTTTGCAAGTAGGAAAATGTGTTCGCTCTCCTCTTTGCTGTACACCTGCTATGACTATTTTGCCTGCAGACAATCTAATTAGCTTGTACAGTTTCGTTGCAATTAGGGTTTTTTCCCTTCTCAAGTAGCCTGATCTCATTGATATCTCGAGATTATCTTTGCATTAAATGATTGAGCTATGGTGTATTTTTGTTGGTTTTGAATCTTAAAATCTTGATGGAAGCTCAAATCAGTTATGCATTAGCTCTGATATAACTGTTGTCCTGCAGACAATCTACAAGATTAGTTTCGGACAGATTTATCTGAGTAAACCTATGATGACGGAATCTGATGGAGAGACTGCCACCTTGTTCCCTAAGGCTGCAAGGTTAAGAAACCTCACCTACTCGGCTCCTTTGTATGTAGATGTTAATAAGAGAGTTATAAAGAAAGGGCATGATGGTGAGGAAGTTACAGAGACACAAGATTTCACTAAAGTTTTCATTGGAAAGGTGTGTAAATTTAGTTTGGGCAATATTTAATAAGCTGCATCGACTTTACGGTTCTGACAGTAAAAATGGGTTCGTCTTGTTTGATTTTTGCTAGGTTCCCATCATGCTCCGGTCCAGTTACTGTACCTTGTTTCAGAACTCGGAGAAAGATTTGACAGAGCTTGGAGAATGTCCTTATGATCAGGGCGGATACTTCATTATTAATGGTAGTGAAAAGGTTCTGATTGCTCAGGAGAAGATGAGTACGAACCACGTCTATGTTTTCAAAAAGAGACAGCCAAATAAGTATGCATATGTTGGTGAAGTCCGTTCCATGGCTGAGAACCAAAATAGGCCTCCAAGCACAATGTTTGTGCGTATGCTTGCTCGCGCTAGTGCGAAAGGGGTAAGAGAAAGCGAATATTCTTAACTCTACAATATCCTTGCTTGAATTAGTTTTGTTTTAAATTCTAGAATATGGTAGATAAATTAAATTATGTGGTAAATGAATGCAGGGTTCGTCTGGGCAGTATATCCGTTGTACACTTCCATACATCAGAACAGAAATTCCGATTAT